GTCTCAATTCCTGAATTCTCCCGTTTTGTAACTACTTAACGTGGGTCTTGTATCCATGAGAGATATTCAGTTTGTCGACAGTCCGAATTTCTGGATCTAAAGGATGACTTCCTTTGGGTCCTTTTACTGTTCTGTTTTGAATTTTAGAAGTGGGTTTCTTTTGCGTGTAATCATTATGTCTTTTATCTGAGCGATTGTAACGCGGCCAATCAGCTGTTCTCACGGTATTTCAATATATCATACGTCACATGATATATATGAGCCCCTGAAAACCAAATTTCGTTGCCACTGTTAATTCTATGTAAAAAAAATTTTATGGGAGCACAATAATTTGTGTTTTCTGATTGTATTCTCAGCAGATACTCAGAAATTAGTGGTTTGATTTTCAAAACTGATTGTCATGTCCAGTTTAGATGTGTCTAAGAAATTTGCCGCTCAGTCTACTCCAAGGTCACGTTTACAACGACCCTAATATGGTAATCTATATCATTTGTTGCCAAATGAACACTAGCCGTCTACCAATGACCCTCACACTGAATTTGTTTCAATACTTCTAAGATAATGTCCAGTCATTTAGTTAACTTCACTAGCCCACTGAAAGTCTGTTTTAAACATACCAGGCTAGAAAACTTCTACTCTTGAATATTTATGTACTATATGCCCAAGTCAGATTTTATAGCTCTGGTTACTGTGAGATTCACAATGGCTTCCAAACAATAACCTGGAGGCCTAAGAAATTGGGAAAGTGGTATACGAGGTGACACACTTACCTCACACGTCAGATGTGAGGAGATCAAACCCCGACACGGTCAAGGATATGCACTGCTGATGGGCTTCAATAAGAGTGAGAGTCGAGTCTAGTGCTCCACCTTTTGGTGTGTGGACTCATTAGAATGATCACGCCAGGGTAGGTGAAAGATAGTTCAAACGAAAGTTTTGTGAGCCTGCCTTCTACAAATCCCGTGCCCACCCACAACTGAGTAACTAAAAACGTGAACAACTGCACTAAATGGCCTAGCACATCCGTTATTTTAACTAACCTTTCCCGACATTTTACATTATGATGCAGCTGCAACTCATTTTGTAGCGTAAAATAGAAGTACTGCTGTCCGTGAGTCCGTGCATTAAGCTAAGTGTCTGAGAGCGGTTACTTATGAAGTAGCCATTCTAGACGATCATGACTGGGGCAAGTTCCCACGCTAAATTGAGCCGCATCGGGAAGGTCATATTCCTGAAAGTAACCCCAGAGCGCCCGAAACCTAGTGAGACCCTAAAACTCTGCCAGTAGGAAAGCCGGTAAGTATCCAGGTCAGTCAATAATTCAACCAGTTTCAGCAAAAGCCGCTTTGGTGTGAATCGTAGAACCCGTCCTAAAATATCCACATTCCCTAGATCTATTCTATGTTCCGTGTCTAAGGCATGCACCGCCATCGCTGAGCCTTTGGCCAACGTTTGGTATTCTTCTGCATTCCTTTGTTTATCCCTCGTTCCTGCTCACCAATTCTGGTGTGCAATTCTCTGGCAGTTTGTCCTATGTAAACCTCAATGCAATCGTTGCAGTTAATTTTAAACACGCAGTCCCTAGTCCTTTCAACCGGCAGGGGATCTTTCAATTAAACCAAAACCGAGGGTAGCGTTTTCCCCTTCTAAAAAGCTAGTCGAATGTTGGCTAAGTTTAACAATCTTCGAATAATCTCCGATGTTCCTGCTTCATATGGAATGACTACTGTGCCAATCAGAAATCATTCAACACCTGGCAATACCTGGAAGAGTAAGTAATCTATTGGAATTGTCGAGTTCAAACAATACCTCTCTGGGGTGGATTAGAGGGGTTGGCCTTCATTCGAATGGTGTTACAGGGGGGAAAATCATTCAACACCTGGCAATACCTGGAAGTTGCAGTAATCTATTGGAATTGTC